CTGCCATCAGGGTGAAGAAAACATACTAATAATAATAATAACACACACAAAGGATTGTAAAGGAAGTTTCTGAAAATATCAAAAAACTCAACAGTCACAGGAAATCTTCTAAAAAACAAAATGCTCAAAAGTCATTTAATTGCTTGTTTTACACAAACACCCTGCAGTTATTGTGTTCCCTATTTAGGTTGTACAGTTGAGTATAATATGAAATGATATAGGACAAAGCTTTAATGCCACTAAGTCAGTTCAGTCAGCCAACTCACGTTTGAAATGTTTATTACAGCAGTATAGAATATTTAGATTTTGGCGTCAAGGCTCTGAGCTCATCATTCCCCACAGATATGTTTACGTAGAGATATTGGGGAGTGATGAGCAAATACCTTAAATCCTAGCCGGAGCCTACAGGTGGATGCTGGAGTGGTGGTAGGGCTTACAGAGCAGCAGGCAGCAATACGGATGCAGGGCAACAGCAGCATTGACAGAGCAGAGGGAGAGCTGGGAAATTGTGCAGTTCAAATAGACCGCCAGTTTGGAAGGGTGCGCTTTGTTAGTGATGAAGTGAGGCTGGTCATGTGTGTATATCAGCGCAGCTCGAGCTGACTGGCTGATCTAGCTCGCAGGCTTTGCTCCATTAGTCGTCAGTTTACTTAATGATAGAAAAAGGTGCCTTAAGGGAACCACTGACCTAAGCCATTGTCTATTTTACTCTAAATGGGACCATCATTGACTAAATGAACACCATGCTGTATGGAAGAAGACTGAAACTAGAGAGTAAGACCACAACTCATTAGAAAACTATTTACTGAGCTCATTAATCAAGTGAGAAGTCGGCTCGTATACCCATTAGACTTTATTTTATCAGACTTGGAGCCGCCCCCTGCTGGCCTTTACATAGAATGCAGGTTTAAGACACTTCCGTGTTGGCTTCACTTCACAGAACCAGAAGCTCTGTCCACTATAAACAGTATAGTGTCAGTGGTTTTGATCCATACAGCTAAACAGATGCTGCGTTGCCACAGCGACAGACAGAAGCTATCCTCTGAGCTCTGACTCGACAGGCTGTCTGCAGACATAGATGACAGGCCTGCTGTCATGCATTTCCTGTTGCCATGTTGTTATTTAATAATCTATCATAACAGTATCAAGTATAATCACAAAGGATCAAACATAATCTTGGGCAGCAAAGGAAAATGAAAGCTTGGGTTCCCTTTTAGATAATCCTATAGACAGCATTCTGACAACACAACAGAGCTCATCAACTTCTACTGCCCCGTGTACATTAATACTGTCCACACAGCTGCACTCCACAATATCCACGGGTTTACTCGGTAAAACTGAGGACATACCGATGGTGTTCAAACTGCAATACATAATGAATGTGAGGCATGAAAGAATGAATGTGGAGCACAGATACTAAACACAGAGGAGCTCCACCGATTTTACACATCAAGACTTGACTTTAACTTGGCTCTAATGAATCTAGTGATGTCATCATGGTTATCTTGAGACTACTGGTAAATGAAGCCAACATGGAAGTCACCAAAAATGAAAGGCTTAAAATTATGAATAATTAAGGGAGTGGCAGCTTTGAGTGACAGGTGGGTGTGTCACAGGTGGCTGTTTTCAGTAACCAGGTTTCATTCAGCCCGCCTCAGCTCCACCCACACTCCACCTCTTTGCCAGCAGTGTCAGCACTGCCAAGATGGCGACGGCCAGAGTTGACCACACTGAGCTTCACAAAGGCTCTTCAGAAACCTATCGGGGACATCCATTTTTAATTATACAGTTTGGTGTTTACCGGGCATTGGTGAGCCAATGGAGAGATGCTATTAAGTTGCATTATGAGAAATGTGGGATCTAGGGCTTTAGAGCTCGACTCACACTAGGGATAAAAGTCAGGATACCTTGGACTGCTGTATCAGTTTTGGCTGGACCAGCAGCCAAATCTGTCTGTTGAACATTTAGTATTTCCCTTCCACAAAGCTGGGGGGACTATCCTTGTGGAAGTACTAAATTGCTGCACTACACCTTGAAAAACAATAACTATATTTTGTGCAGATAGCTGATACTGTTTATGTACAGTGTTCATGACATTTTCCATTTTAGAAGGAAAAAGGAATTGTGTTGTTCTTAGGGAGCAAAAGTCTGAAACAGCAACTGGACTATAATCTAAATGATTAAATACTATATGGAGGCCCAAATCTGCCAAGGGAAAAAGGTCAACATCGAACATAAAACCTCTGGCTCTCTTGTCATAATTCTGATGCAGATTGTAATAAGTTGACTTTACATTACATTTACTTTACAAAAATGTAAACCTCACTGTTTAAGGCAATTGGTTTCCTTAAACAGTTTGAGTTGAAATAACTCACCAGGTTTTCCAGTGTGACTTTTATTAACATTGTTTTACACTTTAAATGATCAAATAAAAAGCAGATGCAAAAGACAATTTACTACAGACTTTGACAGTTTAAATAGCAATGACAAACAGCACCCTCAATCCAGTGCCGGCCCGTGGCATCGGCAGTATAGGCAAATGCTAAGGGCGCCGTCCATCTAGGGGGCGCCACAATGGGGAAAAGGAAAAAAAGGTGCAACTTTAAATGTTTTTATACTAAAACTAGTTGGTGCTATTATTTCTTAGTCCGGAAAAAATAATTTAACTGCATAGCAAAGCCTATTAAACAATAATAAGACTTTATTAAGCCCCCCGCCCCCCCTCCTCCTCTACCTGCTCTCTGAGAGATGGTGGAGTTTTATGATGTCACCCCAGAAACCATTAACAATGGCAAAACCACCAAAAAAAGAAAAGAAGAGGAGGAAAAACGCAACAAAGACAGAGGTAGAGTGAAGATAATGTGATGAAATGATTTGTCTGTTGCAGAACGATAGTAACCTTTAACCTTACACGGTGTGCTAATCAATAAATAGCGTTTTTAACATCAGTTCATGTTATGGAGGGGCCTATAATATGTATAATACTCCCACCTTCTATTTCTCAGGGACATTTGTAAAGAGTAGATCTATTCAGCAGGTGTTTACATTTGTCTACATTTTTATTTGTATTTATTATTGGTTAGCTATCGTTGCTCTGCTTGTAACAGTCAGTCAAATGCTATTCCTTTCACACACCTTTATATATTAGAGTTGGAAGCCTTGTTGTTTGTTGTGTTACAGTTCAGTATTGTCTAAAGTGTGTTTATAGTGTTATTTTACATCCTTGTTAAAGTGCACATCATTAATGTTAATACATTCCCATATGTTATATTATACTGCAGTTCACTGCTTCTTTACATTCTGCTTATCAGCATTTCACTGTAATGACAATAAGATTAAATCTCATCTAATTTACATATCAGAACAAATTGCACTGTATATCATTCATGTACAGTACAGTGAAAGTAATGTATCTCTTAGGTTTTTCATTTTTATTATTTAATTTTATTCTTGGAATCATTTCTTTTATTATTAGACTGTAACACCCAATGGTGTCTCTTACTCCTCTTCTCTCTTCAGATGCACTGTTGAAATATCTAAATCCACCTCCTGCAAATCCTGAGCCATCTACAGTCATCGCCGCTTCAACAGCATCAAGTGATCCTCCTGTCGCCTCCACCTCAGAAGAACCCAGGGATGCAGCATCAGGAATAAAGGCTGCATCAATAGACCCTGCTGACTGGCCATCTCCGCTAATTTATTATTTTCTTGTTAACTGTTTTGATTGAGCAACTTGTTTCTCTAAAAATAAAATAAAATGTCAAAGACAACGCTATTCAGTTTCTTGCGTGAGTGTATGTATGTATATAACTGGCAGTGGAATTTACTGCGATGCAAGAGGAGCGCCACATAAAATCTTGCCTAGGGTGCCAAATTGCTTAGGGCCGGGCCTGCCTCAATCAAATTAGTCTGTATCAGTCCATTGCTGGACAACACTGATTTGTTGGGAAAGAGTTAAGAGGAGTAAGTCACTTATGAGGGGCGGCAGTAGCTCAGTGTGTAGGGACTTGGCTTGGGAACCCTTGAGCAAGGCAACCTAACCCCAAAAACCTGCGCTGTTAATGTTGCAGCCCATCACTCCACCATCTCTCTCCCTGTTTGCATGTCTACAGTGCATGAAAGTGTGTATTTCAGCCTGTGTGTGTGTGTGTGTGTATAAAAAAAAGAGTGAAAAGAACAATTTCCCCTAGGGGATAAATAAAGTATATCGTTTTCTTATGTCAATGTAAGGTATGAGGGTCATTTAACAGCTCAACTTGGGAAGAAAACAATACTGAGGACCAACTACGACTGAGGTGGCACAACTCCAGATCCAGTACCATGAGCCTTAAGTCACTGTTAACAATAAAGGAAAGACTATGGAGCAAATATCATGGTGATGGAGTGCATATAACCCCAGTGACACGCCTGTACTCACAGCCATAGTGTGCATGGACACTCTCTGGATTAAGAGATTGTTGCATAACTCCCTATACATATTGGTAATTGGTAATGTGCTTGTCAAATCTATATCCTGCTGAGTGTTTCAGATTATACTGTAGGCCAATGTCATCACTGCAAATGCAAGTCAACATCAGTACTATTGTGACATTTGACCAACTATACATCATCAGCACATTGTACAGGTTCTAAAGGGTCCATCTGTGCAAAGAACTAATAAAACATTACAACATATGTTGTGTTACTGTTAGTTTTCGTCCCTCATCCACTTCTGACCATTCACATTTTGCACATGGGCATGCAGATCTGGATCCTCAATTAGTGCTGTCAGCTGTTACCTGTGCACTTACTAGTGAAAGACTCCGCTCTCACCAGGCGGGAAAATCGTGCTCTGCGCTCCTGCACAGACTCCACCGAGCGCACGGAGAGCAAATCCGAGCCATCTGACGCGGAGGATTTGTAGGTTTAGGCGAAATTCCCCCCCGCCCCCCTGTGAGATTAAATACCGTGGCATCCATGTATAGATTCTCATTATGTTTACGGCATCTGCAGAATGCCCGTCCTGTGCGGCAAAAGTTGTGGAAGCAGGCTGCAGTTCTGAGACTTTTGGAGAGGGCTGGCACCGCTGGACACCATGCACACGGATGTGGTGCTGCTCAACCTGCTGGTTTGGATGGTCGGTGTGTCTGGGCAGACGCGTCCGAAAGGTCAAATACTGCAGCCATACAGTCACCTCAGGTCAGTTAACTATGAGAGAAATGCAGGAGAGGCTCTAATGTGCTGTGCGTAAATACGCGTGTAGCTGAAAAATAGTAATTTTAAGCAAATAAATCGTGCGTAAAATCTTAAATGTCACACTTTTGTTTAAACAAAAGAAAAATTCTGCTCGAGGATTGCTCCCGTTTCTTCTGCAGCCTGGTTACACCTATTAAAGAAATTCTCAAACACGCATGGGTGCTTTGGAACAAGTCAAGCATGGAAGCTGGCAGCTCCATCTTCATTTAAGAACGTTTATAAAATAATCTGATCTGCGTTTGGAAAAACTACAAGATAAATAAGAGGCAATACAAGATTAAACTATTGAGCTCAGTTCATTCTGAACAAAACAGACTTCTTCAGGAACTTTCCATCAGTCCTCATCAGCAGAGTGAGTTTGCTCAGCTGATGACTAAAGTTCCTCTGGCTTCTCCAATATGCTTATATCACAATACAAGATTATGTTTGAGATCTGCTGTCTGCTGTTGTGTAACCACCTCACATGTTTTATATATCCTTTACCATTGCATTGCTAATTTAAGTGTCTGCAAAAAAGGCGTCTTTCTCAGCCTGAAATGAGTACAAAAGCTCATTCTTGACCTAGGAAATAGTAGTTTAGCAGAATAAACTCGACAGACCATCTACCTATCTGCTGATGAAGTTGTTAGATGTAGTTGAAACCTATAGAGAAGCTTGAGTTTTGTCAAAAATGTGTCCTTTTCCCAAAAATGTGCCCTCTTGACTGGTTTGGGAGGATTCTTTTTCACATTGCATTCGGTCGAAAGGAAGCAGAAAGGATTTTCCCTCTTCTGTCGGGCCACTGTCATGATGATGTAATGTTATTATTCATTCTGATTCTGATTTAGGGATTGCATCAGTTTGACAGTGGTCCCATAAGGCTTCTATATCAATATTTATATAATATTTTGGGGTAAAATGCTTTAAGTCAGATTGATCTTTAACTTTAATTGTGTGTTTGTTTTTTTGAGGTGGAGAGAGAGGCTGTAACCAGGGGCATTTCCAGACTTTGTTGCCTGGGGCAGCACAAGTGGGGCACTGATTTATGCAAGGGTGGCATGAAGTATGGGTCTCAGCTTTCCAGTCTTTCCCAATTTATACAATTCCAGCAGTGTTTATGGACCCCAGTATGCAGAAATATTCAAATACACTAGGTGAAAATAATACATTTATACATTTATATTTACACAAACTGTATGGGATTAGCATACAGTAGGCATGTCTGCAAAGGGGAGACTCGTGGGTACCTATGGAATCCATTTTCATTCAGATATCTTGAGGTCAGAGGTCAAGGGATCCCTTTGATGACCTTTTTTTCCATAGGCAAAATTTTGCCCAACTTTGGAGTGTTATTTAGCCCCCTTCTTGACATACTATCATGACATGGTTAGTAACACTATCTTCTAGGTTAAAAAACGGAGCCCAATACAGCCTATGAAAGACACTGTGGAGTGGAAGAGGTAAGAATAATGTGGTGGCACTTGGGGTGGCCAATTAGATTTCAGGGGTCCCACTTCCTGTATGTGCACACTGAAAGTTGCAATTATATTCCTCTAGTAGCTCAAAAGCTGCCATATTAGGACAGCTTAATTAAGTAATATTAATATACACACATAACACACAATGTTGTTATATGTTTCTGCAAGACAGCCTTGAGATAAGGTATGGGGTATCTCTTCAAGTCCCATCTCATATCAGTGTATATTAATGAATCAATCAAATTAAGTGCAACACCTGGAGATTGAATCTGGTGCCTTTGGGGACCCTGAGGTCAATCTTGCAAAACAGTTGATGCTCATCTTATGCTTACCTGCTCCCTATTCAAATTCTGATGTGTTATGAAATTGTTACCAACAATAGTAAATATGATTATTTCTGGGATACTGCTGTTGTTTAGATCAGTGGTTCCCAACCTGTGGTCGGGACCCCCACTATGGGTCACCAAAGCTTCACAGGGCTTTGCGAGGCCTTATAGATTTTAAGTGCTGCAAGAAAACTTAGTATACAGAGTAGGCCTTAGACTTGACCTGCTTACTGTACAGCTGGGGTTACTATGGAATGAGGACAGAGTCATCCTACATGCTCGGTAATCAAAGCTCTGTTTTTAGCTGACAGCAGCAAAAGGTGACATGTGCCTGGTTGGTTGAAAATCACTTACTCTGATTACGTAACCTGTAATCTAAGTGTGTTAATGTGCTTTCTGAATTATTGCCATTGTTGTTGTGCCTTTGGGAAAGGTCAGCTGGGCGGAAGGAAGGCCAGCAATTAAATGTCATTTTTAGTAGTACAAATGTAAAACATGTTATACTATCTTACAGATACAATTTGGATTTGAGAAGCTCAGTTGATATGAATGGTTGTAGCTGGACATTTGTTTCTCTTGTCTCCTATTAAATTAAAGCCATATCTTGTTTAATGGAAAGGTGATGGAAAACCACAAGTTGTGGTACTGGTTCTGTTGTTTTCTACAAAATCTACTACACTCTACTCCCTCCAGTCAGAAGTAAGTTTTTCTTACAGTTGGATGTGTGATCTTCATTGTTTTGTCATTCCAGGATTGGAGTGGGGTTAGGTTGCCCAATGATGATATATCTAACCCTTAAATGCATACTCTTTAGCAAATCAGGACTATTGAGTCATTCATTTTATTCAACAAGCACTTGACTCAATAAACAGAACAATGTTCTGGAGTCAACATGACAAAGAGCATTGTTTTCTAATGGTAGTAGTTTTTCTGGCCAAATCTCCATCTTTTGAAGCCAAAAGATCTCACAGACTTCACACTTTTTTGGAAAACCTCAGCCTACAACGGTTGTAACGAGTGGCGCCACCAAGGGGTGGCCATGGTCACCCTGATAAAATCAACTGCCAATAACAATAACAACTGCATAGCCAGCCAGCTTCTTTTGACTGCCCGTCACAATAGATTCTTGGTAACAAGTCACACTTCTTGGCTTCTTGGTATGTTCTGTATTGCCCATTTTAATTTACATTGTCAGCCAAGATAGATAGTTGACTGTTGAGCCAAGCCACCAACCCAAAGTGTCTTTCTATCTTTCTTTCTTGGCTCTGATTGGTTGTTTTCATCCAGGCCTGATGGATTCCTGCAAATGCCATTAGGAGCACTGGGAGGAGCCAGAGGAACCTGATTTTTTCACAGATTATCTGTCTCATGTACTACTGTCAGGATAGAGTGAAAGTTTCAAATGTGATAAAAAGTTATTTTTATAAAAATACCTACTGTAGCTTTAAACTACTCAGTATCCTCAAGTCAACTTAAGTTTTAGGTTAAAAGGTCATGAAGATAACCAGACAGTGTTCTGACAGCTCATCAGCTCTTTGACCTCTCAGTGATTTATCCGCAATCACATGCTTAATCATCTCCAGTTCCACTACATCCAAGCTGATGAGTTATGGTAAAAGCACTATCGCTGTAGAAAGAAAAGAGTAGTCTAACCGTCCGGTTCTAAAGAGTTAACCTTTTCCCGTAATACACCTACATCTCTTCTCCAACATCTGTCTGTAGGTGTGAACACATACTGCAAAGACAAGAGCCGGATGCAACAGCCTCAGTCAGCCATGAGTACAACGAATATACTATTTTCTCTTTTTTTGCTGCAATTTTGTGGGTGGCCAGTGGAGATCAGATGGTCAAAAGAAATCTTTCAACATTAGATTTAGCCAGCAGTGATTAGTTTCCTCTCGATGCAGCAATAAGTAGTAAGCAGCCTGTGAGTTAATCATGTTTCCTCATCAGTGACCATATCTGTTCTTTGGAATGTGATGTTCATATGCAGTTTAAAGGCAAAAACAAAATTGTGTTATATATCTGTTATATAAACAAATATCTGTTTTCGACATCTTTCAGCTATTTTTCTCTTCACCTTTTACAGACATGACAACTGCCACCTGCTACAAAAGAGTACAGACAATATCCAATAAAACAGTGTAATATACAGCAGATCATGAATATCCACAATTATAATAGCAATCTTGACTGTAGTTGTTAATATATCTCCCTTTGGATTGGCTGATTGACAGTGCCTTGCTCACCACAGCAGGGCAAAAATAAGAAAATCTTGCTTGCAAGAGCTTTACAAAGACAATTAAACAACATGTTTTGTTCCCTGGTGTTCGCACGCAGAAGTTCTCAGTCTTACTACAACCCCCTGCTGTGCAGAGCTTACTGCCTGAGGTAGCTCAGTGAAGGGGCACGATAACTCAGCAGTCTGTCATTTCCATGAGATTCTCTCAGTGTGAGGTTATACAATTAAAACAATTGTTCTAATTAAGCTATCTAATTCCCCACAGGGGTCAGTGGAGAGAGTCCAGATTATCTTATTTAAAGCTACAGTAGGTATTTCTATAAAAATAACATTTTGTCATATTTGCTAAAACTTTCACTACATCCTGACAGTAGTACGTGAGATAAATAATCCTCCTAGTGCTCCTAATGGCTAGAATTTGCAAGAAAGATGTTGAATTTTGAGTCTCATTCACAAGTTGTCAAATAAAGATGCTTTGGGTCCCAATGGTTCAAGCCACCAACCCAAGCATCTGTGTTTGACAATTTGGGAATTAACCTCAACAATCAACTATCTTTCTTTGCCCTGATTGGTTGTTTTTGTTCCAGTGGATTCTTGCAAATGTTGTTAGCAGCACTAGGAGGAGCCAGAGGAACTCGATTTTTTCACAGATTATCTGTCTTGTGTTCTATATATTCATCTAGTGAAAGTTTCATCAAACTGGAAATATAAGTTACCTACTGCAGCTTTAACCAACTTGTTTAGAACATTATCGTACCATGGGTGAATCAGAATTTTTCTCTGTTGTTGATAGTTTTTAGCTGTTTATGTAATCATACCATCATGTCACAGACCTCCCAGATCTCTATTCTGTTTTCCAATATTACTTAAAGATTACTTTTAAGATTTGCCCAACTTAGCATCAGTGTATAATATTGCATAAAACCATGTAATACAGTGGTGTGAAAAAGTGTTTTCCCCCTTCCTGAGTTCTTATTTTTTTGCATGTTTGTCACACTTAAATGTTTCAGATCAAACAAATTTAAATATTAGACAAAGATAACACAAGTAAACACAAAATGCAGTTTTTAAATGAAGGTTTTTATTATTAAGGGGGAAAAAAAATCCAAACCTACATTGCCCTGTTTGAAAAGGGGATTGCCCCCTAAACCTAATAACTGGTTGTGCCATCCTTAGCAGCAACAACTGCATTCAAGCGATTGTGATAACTGGCAATGAGTCTTTCACTTCACTGTGGAGGAACTTTGGCCCGCTCAGCTTTGCAGAATTGTTGTAATTCAGCCACATTGGAGGGTTTGAGCATTAACGGCCTGTTTAAGGTCATGCCACAGCATCTCAATGGATTTAAGTCCGGACTTTGACTAGGCCACTCTGTTTTTTTTACACCATTCAGAGGTGGACTTGCTGGTGTGTTTCTGATCATTTTCCTGCTGCATTACCCAAGTGTGCTTGAACTTGAGGGTCACAAGCTGATGGTTGAACATTCTCCTTCAGGATTTTCTGGTAGAGAGCAGAATTCATGGTTCCATTAATTACGACAAGTCGTCCAGGTCCTGAAGCAGCAAAGCAGCCCCAGACCATCACACTACCACCACCATGTTTGACTGCTGGTATGATGTTCTTTTTATGAAATGCTGTGTTAGTTTTATGCCAGACATAACGGGATGCACACCTTCCAAAAAGTTCCACTTCAGTCCACAGAATATTTTCCCAAAAGTCTTGGGGGATCATCAAGATGTTTTTGTAAGATGAGTCTTTGTGTTCTTTTTGGTCTGCAGTGGTTTTCGCCTTGGACCTCTCCCATGGATGCCATTTTTGCCCAGTCTCTTTCTTATTGTTAAATCATGAACACTGACCTTAACTGAGGCAAGTGAGGCCTGCAGTTCTTTAAATGTTGTTCTGGGTTCTTTTGTGACCTCCTTGATCACTCGTTGATGCACTCTTGGAGTAATTTTGGTAGGCCGGCCACCCTGGGAAGGTTCACCACTGTTCCAAGTTTTCTCCATTTGTGGATAACGGCTCTCACAGTTTTAGAAAATGGCTTTGTAACCCTTTCCAGACTAATAGATGTCAATGATTTTGTTTCTCATCTGTTCTTAAATGTCTTTACATTGCACCATGATGTGTTGCTTTTTGAGATATTTTAGCCTACTTCACTTTGTCAGACAGGTTCTATTTAAGTGGTTTCTAAGTGGTTTAATTGGATAGCTTTTTTCCCTTAATAATAAAAACCTTCATTTACTGCAACTGCATTTTCTGTTTACTTGTGTTATCTTTGTCTAATATTTAAATTTGTTTGATGATCTGAAACATTTAAGTGTGACAAACATGCAAAAAAATAAGAAATCATGAAGGGGGCAAACACTTTTTCACACCACTGTATGTTCTCTCCTTTCAGATCCAGAAGAGAAATGCCTTTGACAGAAGAACCCCGTCGCAAGATTGGCAGGTAAGACGTGTGTGTGTGTTTGTGTGTGCGTTTTAAAAACCTTTCTCTAGTTCAATTAGAACAATAACAGAGGCTATACAGGAGAATCTTATAGTGGAGATTAAAGCAGCGTAACTCGACATAGAGGCACATGGTCAACGTTTTAATCACACTATTGTTTGCAGTATGTACTGAGGAGGATGGGACGCTTCTATGTATCTTACTAAGCCCAATATAATCCATTCTTATCTGTCAGAATGAGGAAATTCATAAGATTATTCACTGCATAAACTCGATATGATGACAACAAGCTGCACTGCACAAAATCACACTGCTGGGTCACCGTCAACTGTATACAACACTAAAAAGCTTGTTATCAGTTGCTAAATAGATCAAGCAGCCATCAGAGTGTTCACATACACAGGAAAATACATACATTCCTAAACAGAGTCTAATCAAATGACTACACAATAACTGCAGCTCACTGCATATAATCATGCACAATGGGGAAGAAATGTGATCCAAGTGATAGACCATGGCTGGGTTGTTGGTGCCAGATGGGTGGTTGGAGTATCCAACAAACACCTGATCTCCTGGGATTTTACAAAAACATCCAATCAGCAGTTACCCTGTGGATGTTGTTCATCAGCAAAGTCAGAGGACAAAGGCCAAACTGGATTACGCTGACAGGGAAACACGTTCTCACTCCCAACTCGTTAAATACAGCGCCTTGGTCAGTGGCCCTTGCTGAGCTTGCTGAGAAAGATTTCAGCGAGTTTAAGAGGTCAGCTTGTTTTAGGCACAAAAAGTACTTGGTTAGGTTTAGCCATCATGTAACTCAACTAACCACACATTCCAACAGTGCTGCACAGAAGAGTTCCTTCTCCTTCCTATTAGCACTCCGGTCCACTCCTGTCAGCTAAAAACACAAAACTGAGGCTACAGCGGACACAGACACCAGAACTGAACTGTAGAGGATTAAAGGAAACTTGCCAAACCGCGATCGAGTTTACGTGGACCAGCACCTTTAACGAAAGTTCCTAGCACCTTGACACAAAAACTTCAGCAGTTTCCGGCTCAAATTCCAGAACTAGAAAGGTGCACCTGTGAGAATATTCTTTCAAATTGAAATATGATTCTTGCTTAGATGTGTCAGTGTCAATATTTCAACACATGCTCATTCCATGAACAAGTTAGCAATAATAAATAAGCAAATTCAGTTACACTTCAAAATAAAGCTTGCTGAGGTTGCTGTTTGGTTAGGCTTAGGCAGCAAAACTACTTGGTTAGGTGCCTAACAAGTCAGTGTTGACTTTTGGTTTCCCATGGGACATCCCACATGGGACGGTCTCCTGGGTTAAAGTACTCTGTTTGTTTGAGCCATCCATCCACCCCACCATCCTTATAGCATATTGTTTATATAAATATATTTAGACAAAGACAACGTAGGCAAGTTGAAATATGCTGATCAGTTAGATTAAGGCAACATTCTAGCAGAACTTCACAAGCATGCTGCTGGAAGGTGATGGGTGTGGCACCTCAGAAACATGAAGGCCAGTTTGCTTCTCAGCATTTCAGTTGATATGTCAAATTTAGTGCAATTATGTGAAAACCTTTGTAAACACTGGATAAGCTAGAGAGAGACAGCAGAAAAGGTTTCATTCAGTAGTTGCACAGAAGGACTGATAAACTTGGTGCATATTAGGAATGTAGTGTTATGTAAGTACAAAATGCTAATGATACAGTTGCAGAATTGTTCATCTTTCTGACCCTGAGCTTCATATGTAGAAATAAACTTTTTTTCAGCCCCATATTGAAGAGGAGTCCAGATAAAACTAAAGCCTGGGGTACAAAGACAGAGCACCTGCTGAGGATAGACGACCATGAATTTACAATGCGACCAGGATTTGGAGGTAAGAAGGTTCAACCTCTCAACTAAATGGAGCGGTGTCAATAAATGCAGGCAGCCAGCAGACTGAGATCTCTATCCAAAGAGTCTTCAGTTTAATTCAGTGTCCAGACAAGTCATTAGCCACATGAAAGTGTTCTTTTAGACTTTACACTAAACCCCAACCCACATCTGATCTATACGCTCATCTGAATGTGGGAGGTAGGCGTGTCCGGTACTGGCTTGTAGAGATGACATAACAGAGCAGGATTATGTCTGAGCCATGCTGCTGTGGGCCAGTGATTAATTACCAAGCAGCCCCAGTCTGTAGCTTTAGGTTATAATAACTCCTGTCTTAATCTGCCACATGAAAGCCCAAATCTGTGTGCTTTTTAAATTCTCACACTTGCATTTCCCCTATAAATACGGAATCTCACGTGGAGTTCTTGGAAAGCCTTTACTCCATTAGCAGCAGACTGTTATTGGTACTAATTACATCAGGAAATCTGATCTGGATTGAGTCTGATTAGTTACTGGAGGCTTCATATGCTAAATGTTGATGTTTTTTAAAGGAAAATGGAGAGTTTGCACTGTAAGTGCAAGGTGTTATGTAAAAAAATACAGCCATTAAAAAGGGAACGAGCGAGGGTGTTTTATGAGATGTTCACATGGCTGTCTTTTTTATAATTGGTTGGCTTAACCAACAGGTTGTTCGTCATTTCCAGCACAGCATGAAAACAGCAGAGAGTAAAAGTGAGAGGCTTGTGAAGAAACTCAAGCATCTAACAGTAAAAAACCCAAATATTTTTCTCAGGAGTTTGTTGACTGAACTCATGCTAAAATGTAAATTAATATTTGACTCTGTGTGTATTCAGGTGCCAAAGTGTTTCTCTATCGGCTGTAAAAATCCGGTGTCTTTTAAAATGTTTACTAATCACTAAGAGACACCAAACAAATACGTCTGTGCCACTTGTATAATTAAGGCTGTCCAACTGCATTTGAAATAGCTCCCTACTTCAAGTTTTGTAACTTGCTTTTAAGACTCACAATCATGCCCACTTGTGAATGACATGAAACATGAACTTTTAACTCAAGCTCTGTTTCCATTTCTTACTTTTTATGTGTACAAGTGAGTGCAACACCCTGAATGCTGAGAAGTAATTTGTATTTGCCATTTGTACCACTATGTCACAGGGTTTTTGTGCTGCCTTTGAGGGTAGGCCTGGGGAAAGAGCTTAGTCTGGGTTTACTTGGCTAGGATGAGATTATGGTTTGTGTTTAACTACTACTTTGTTAAGGTGAGGAACCATTGTTAAGGTTAAAAGTAAAATCCCTTCATTAAGTACCAAGTACGAAGGAGAAACTACGGTGGCAGTAAAACATACAAAAAATGCGAGCCAGTGTTCTGGCCTGCTGTAGAAACAGGCCGGATCAACATGTTTGCGGTGTCTGTAGATATAAACAGGTCATTCTAAGTTAACAAAAAGATTCTTATTTTCAGGTGATTATAAACTAATGAAAACATACCTATGAATATTAGATTCCATTTCTGACAATAGATCCTCCTAAATGTTACACACTGGACCTTTAAAGAAATGGCTTCTATAATTTTATTTTTTTGTCCTACAGCAGCTATCCTAGTTTAGTACAGGACTTTCCTCTGGGGGACCAGGATTTGAGTTCCCAATTGGGAGTCCCATGTGAAACCAGCAGTTAGTGTTGACTTCTATTTTTTAGACTTTAGTTGACTTTATTTATACTTTATTTTCAGTTTTCAGTCGCAGTTTGGTTAAGGTTTAGGGAACAAAAGGACAGTCCCCACCAACACAGCTGAGTATGAAGTATTGCTGCACCGAGGACAGAGAGCATGCTTGGTAGTACAAGCAGGATTTTAAGCCTGGGTGTGGTTTCGATAAAAGTAATGTAATTCCATAAGTCTTAGAGAAAGACAAGGACAGTGTTCACACTATACACTATAGCCCTAATTTTATACTAGTTCATCAGGAGGACTCAAAGAATTCTTCATGATTGTTGTCCTGTTTGAAAACATAGAGAATCTGAAGCCCTGTTAAAAAAAAAAAAAAAAAAAAAAAAACACCACTATAATGTCAGTTAGGATTAGAGTACTCACTCCACTGGCTCCTTGCCATTTTGGGGGGAAATCTGCACCAAACTGCTTTTATGGGGATTTGGATGAAAGAGAGCAGAAGCCATTGTTTGAAGCAAAAGGATTGGTATGAAAAGCTCCATATAAACACAAATAATCCAGGCAGTTCTGAATGAGGCACCTGGGCTACATCTGCACACTGTTACTGTCCACTGTTGTATTTTTAAGTAATACTCATATCAATACAAATTACAGGTTAATGCATTGTTGTGTACTGCTGCATATACTTCCAGGGCCTGCGGTTCCAGTTGGAGTGGATGTTCAGGTTGAAAGTTTGGATGCAATTTCAGAAGTTGATATGGTATGTATGGACCAAACTGTGTAGGACTATTTGTGTATATTGTTAGTTGAGATAGTAGTGTAACAGGCATGTATTTCCTTGTTTAAGGACTTTACTATGACCCTGTATCTGAGGCACTACTGGAAAGATGAACGTCTGTCCTTCAGAAGCAACACCAACCAGAGCTTGACCTTCGATAGTCGCCTGGTCAAGAAAATCTGGGTTCCTGACATGTTTTTCGTCCACTCTAAGAAGTCCTTCACACATGACACCACCACTGACAACGTTATGCTGCGGGTTTACCCAGATGGCAAAGTCCTCTACAGCCTCAGGTAATTCCCGCGGTCAGCAGGGCCCAACTAACCTGACTGCAGCAGGAACCATGTGGGAAGCTGTCGTTGGAAACTGTTTGGAAAAGGGCAGGCACTTTCAAAAAGTACTTGGCATTTTATTGGATGAACCACCTGTCTATCACCATCTATCATGGGCAAACTTCAACCAATCAGATCAATGAAATGAGCCATTGCTCTTTTTTCAATGACGTAATACTCTCCAGTTTGATATAACTGATGCTAGCAACATCTATGCTAACCTCTGTAGCAGCCGCCATTGTTGTTTTTGAACTTCTCACACACATTTCATCACACACACACACCTAGCATTAAACCATACCTGTACCTAGTAGTTCCTAATAGGATGCTGATTGGTCCGAACCACTGTGGCTGGACACAGGCACATAGCTTGAAGCCTGACAAGATGGATTCTTGTGTGGTTTTGTGATCTCGCGATTCCAGCTAACTCCCTGGGTTGGGGCCTAACACTTAATATGTCAGAACAACTGAAAGTGGCGGTTAAGTCAGGGACTGTTTACAGGAATAGTTCATCATTTTTGGAAATACACCTATTGGCTTTCTTTCCAAGAGTGACATGGAACTATTTCTTGGTAATCAATGGCTGTGAGTCAGTGCTTTTCCATCCATTGAAGAGTGGAAATGCTGAAAATGGTAAAAGACCAAATATCGTAAAAAAGAAACAGTGGTGCACTAAACACCCTGTCTTTTTCATACAACAGCGTTTAGAAAAACGTTGCTGCTGATTGGATAACACCTCTGACACACCCACCAAATGAGAGTAAATATACCTCATAGCCTGTAGCACACTATCTCATCACTTCACCTAAAAACCGTAGGAAAACACAGCTTTCAGACTGAACGTGGCCCAGATCTGTGTGGAGCAATGAGACTTTAACCTTCCCCAAAATAAAACAAAAGACACATAAATTCCATATTTCCATCATATTTTTAATGTGATTTACTACTGTTTCAGGTTTGATTGGCCTCCATTGTGTCCTGTTCTTCTCCAATGGTTTACTGGCACCAGACTGGAGAATTAGTTCCCCCAGCTGTTTATCTTGATACCCCCAACTCATAATATCTGCATAACTGTGGTCGGATCTGACAACTGACTGGGCAACAGGAACAGGGTTTGGTGTATGTGCTGCAGGGTTGTGGGAACAGGTTTGCAGATGGGTGGGGTAGCCAGGAGATGGGAAAAGAGGGGAAAGTTTGAGGGCATTTGGTAGATGGATGGAGAATGGAGGTAGTTTGTGGAAGTGGGGCAGGTTATGATGTTAGTGGGTGTTTCAGGGATGTAATTACCACTGGTTGTCCCGCCAAGACAAAGTGGCACCAGCTGCCACAGTACAAGATGTGTATTTAAGGGGATAACGCTCTGCCAATTATGGCCACTAATGCTGCTGAGCAAGACCTTGTAATTTTGCAATAGGAGGCTCCAAGCCAAGATAGTTGATTTTGTAATCCACATTACAGAGCCTGGCAGAGATTAACAGCTGGCCATCTGCCTCCTGTTGTGACCACCCCAGCATAGTGCTGCCTTCCTGACAGACCGGAACAGATATCAAAACAGATCTGAATTCACCAACATTCGCTACTGAAATATGTGAATGTTGATTGCTGATTGATAGCAGAAGCCTAATGATCAGTAGAAATGGTCGGATAAAGCTCTCATTAGCTTAAATCGGTGATCTAATTGGGATTCAATCTGACATCCTGATCCTGATCTTGATGTGGACTGTGGTACTTTGCTACCTGGTGGCTGTACTGTGTGTATGACAGAAGAGTATGTGATGGTTAACAGCAGATATAAGCATATTCATCACATGACCTGGGTTAATCTGTGTGGGGTTGGCATTGGTTGGAGATTTTCCAGACTAAGGCAGATTGGCATGTGAGGATGACAGTTTGTAGACCTGGCCCGTGGACCATGTGGCGTCCTCTTGTCCTGTGAGCTGAGATTATGTATTTTCATTTACTCCTCAAACCCCTGACTCACACAGTGTTTGCCTGTGAATATGGAGGGGTCAATCTCTGAAGGTTAGACATGCAAATAAGGAAAAGTCACTGCCTGCTCACTCACCTCCCCAGCCCCCTCCTTTGTTAGCATTTAGCCCAGAAGAACAACCTTGTTAACCCGATTACAGATACAGTGAGATTCTTTTGTGCTATGGAACAAATGCAACAGCAGTTCTTACCTATTGTATCTTTAAAAAATATCCCAAGAGTATAACAAAGAATTATTTCTCTGCAGTATTTTGTCATCACATGACGCTAATTGTCATTGCAGGGTGACAGTCACAGCTATGTGCAGCATGGACCTGAGTCGCTTTCCACTCGATACGCAAACGTGCTCTTTGGAGATAGAGAGCTGTAAGTGACTGATGTGAGCTCTCCTCTACAGTTACACAGTTTTTCATTATTGTGTGAATAATCTAGATTAAGGAAATGTTGTTAAATTGATTGGGGATGGTGTTTTTACTGCATTGTACAGAATCTTCTCTCTGGTGTTATAATGTGAGCCGCAGGTACTCTGTTTATGCTCTTTGTCTCTCCAGATGCGTATACAGATGATGATCTGATGTTGTACTGGAAGGAAGGTAACAGGTCATTAAACATAGATGAGAGAATTTCTCTCTCCCAGTTCCTCATCCGGGAGTTCCACACCACCACCAAGCTGGCCTTCTACAGCAGCACAGGTACTGACAGCTGTCTTTTGTTTCAGACCTACAGTATCTCAGGTCTATGCCACTCCTAACTTCCTCCCTGTCTCCAGGCTGGTATAACCGTCTGTACATCAACTTCACTCTGCGGCGGCACATCTTCTTCTTCCTGCTGCAGACCTACTTCCCCGCCACTCTCATGGTCATGCTGTCCTGGGTGTCCTTCTGGATCGACCGCAGGGCCGTCCCTGCCAGAGTGCCGCTGGGTGAGAGTGCTTGGCTGTAGTTAGCTATTTGGTGCAGTGGTTGCAGTCTTATTTCTTAGTTTCCTTTACCTAATTGAGGCTCAAAGAATAGAGGGTGTCATATGCTGAATAGATTGTTGAGCCCCTTGAGGCAAATTTATGATTCATGATACTAGGCTGTATCATACAGTCTACGGGCTGTATAAATAAAATTGACTTGACTTCTGGCTCTTGAGCTGATCTAGACAATTTTTCACATTATACATTTACATTTATCAAAGCCCACAACTTTCTAAAATGACACAATTTAACAAGTTTTAAATATATTTCAATTTGTGTGCACATCATGTATGGCAAAATGTAATAGCTATATATACGTTAAATAAATAAATAACATACATTTAATTAATCAAAGCAAATAAATCATAAATTCACTTCTACTAGATCACCAATAGAGCAGTCATTTTACCTAGCAGACAATCATAAAACAGATGTCAAACGGGACAGAAACAAAATAGAACTCAAGAAAATCAAGTCTTTCCAGCAATCACCAGTGGTCGAAATAAAAAGAGTTAGATGTGAAAATATTTAGATGCACCTGTCAAAGTAAGTTGATTAAAGGTTTTTGTTTTTGCCACTGACAGGTTCAGACTGTTTGTGAAGTGAGAAGTGTCTTGACAACATTATAGAAACCAATCACCACCAGACTCCATAGAAAACTCACCTAAACTGTCTTTGTTAGTCTTTCCACTGTTCCAACAATAATCAACGATGGTTTGGTGAAAATAAATCCTTAATTCACTAGTAAAAAACAGCAGTTTCAGTCGCTCTCACATGTGGCCAGGCCAGATTTGTAAATAAACCGCAGAAGGGCTGTGATAACAACACAGGCAGATGGAGTGTGACGTCATTCTCTGTTTAGGACACCATGACTTCACTATACTCTTGACATAGCTAATTGTTGTTTGCTGTTATATGTTTTAAATATCATATATAGAACGTTTCAATTATTATTTTAATGTAATTTTTTTGTGCACACACAAATGGAAAATGAAATTTCAATTTCATTAAGGATTACATTTAAAATTTTAAAATGACTTTTAAAATTACGTTTCAACTTCCATTTATTGTGACTTTAATATTGGCAGCCCACAACTTCCATTATCTTTCAATAGCAACGTCAGGTAACTATCAAGTCCAGTTTTTAGTCAACTAAAATATTTATTTGGCACTTTGTGTGAGTCAGTATTGCTACATACCTGACACCATAATTGTATTTTGAGTAAATAACTGGAAGCTGCAGCTTCTTGAACAGGGGCCTTTATCACTACAATTTGAACATAAAACACAAGACTTTTGTCACCTGCTCTGAACTTGTTTTGCTTTAGGAATAACTACGGTGCTCACCATGTCCACCATCATCACCGGAGTCAACGCCTCCATGCCCAGGGTGTCGTACATTAAAGCTGTGGACATTTACCTCTGGGTCAGTTTTGTCTTTGTGTTCCTGTCGGTGATAGAGTATGCTGCCGTCAACTACCTGTCTACTCTACAGGAACGCAAGGAGAGGAAACTCAGAGAGAGGGTTGGTGCCAGTCTCTCACCCTCTGTTATAATGCCCTGACTTTTTATTATGAGATCAAAATTTTAATTTGTCCAATATTTGATGGATTTTATGACCACATACCTGCCAAACTACAGACATTCCATCAGTCTTAGTCAGTGTTTAGAGCTGAGTAGCAAATGCTAGCATGTTAGCAACTACAGTGGTGAAAATGGTCGTTAATCATTACCACCTAAACATCAGCATGTAAGCATGCACAGGCACTGATACATATACAGCTTCATAGAGGTGCTAGCATAGGGTGACCATATTTTCAAACATTTAGTTTAGTCTCTTACAGGTATTTTTCAGGATTCGGGACATCCTGCTTGAAACAGTCCCAGACAAACCGGGACAATTACGGACAAACCGGGACGTCTGCTCACCTTATCTTTATTCAGAAATAAAAAATTACAGTAAAGTTAAGTTTGTCAAATTTAATATTACTGAAGTTATTAGTTTTCTTGAGTCCTTCTGTGATGAAACTGTACAATTACAAGTACTGTACTTTTCCCCAAAACAAGATTAAAGAGATTTTTTTTCTGAAGTGAAAAGTTAATTTACACATTTGGACACGTGTTTTGTGTAGCCATTAAGTACCTTTTGTCGCATTGCAGCTGCCGTGTACCTGTGGAATGGCCCATCCTGGCATGATGTCGGCCAGCTACAGCGAGGTGGATGCCAACACAACAGGGAACTACGGCATGCCAGAAGAGAACGGGGTGAAACGGGAGAGGATTCTGGTGCAGCTGGCCATGGAGAACGACCAGGTCACCGGCCATGTTGGCTCCAGCGCCTACAGCAACGTCTGGATTGACACGCATGCCATAGATAAATACTCCCGGGTCATCTTTCCTGGATCTTACATCCTCTTCAACATCATCTACTGGTCTATCTACTCCTAACAGATGGAACTCAAACAGAGCAAAGTCTGAACACTTCCAGCAGAAATGTGAAATATTTGCCTCCCTTAAGTGGAACAGATGCACTCAGGGTAGAGTAGAGATTTGTGCTCTAAATTTGCAGATTCAGGCCGTTGTGTGGAGAAGGGCAATCCAAAGAAAGACTGATGTGCAGTAGAGGACAGATCTGACCCCCCAGAAGTCCCGACATGAGCTAGATCAACACATTCTACTTCAACTCGGGTCTCTCCGAATTTTGACTGGACAGAAGCCCAGAGGATCTGGGAACAGGATCAATTAAAGTCAGACATAACAATTACCTTAATCACAGGACACAGATAGCACCATGATGGGTTCTTAAAAGGTGTTGAAAAGGAGCAGCGATGCCTGGAAATCTTTTAATTTGACTGGTTGTTATCTGCCACCTGTTAATTAGAACAGGTTCATTTCCCAACTGGTTCCAAGCTTAATAAACTCTCTAATCAAGGGCTTCTGTCCTCAGGTCCATTTGGCTCTGTTTGGTTTCGGTTTTGGTTTTTTTAAAGGACAGGTCCATCTTTTACACCTCGGACAGGTGCAACAACAAGTGCAAAATGGTGGGACTGTGGGGGGTTCACATGGCTCTGAAACAGCTGAGCCAATCACAATAAGCTATGATGGCTACTTCAGGAAATCTTCAGGAAACCATGCTGTTGTGTGGACAGTGCAATGTGTTTTTTTCGACAATAATGATAGTAGTATGATAGTAGTAAAATTGTTTAGTTTGATTGCATCAATCCAATACTATTTCACACATAATTATATTGTATTTCACGTTGTAAATGGTTACATCATATCATAAAAAATGCAAATATCTTTAAAAACAAATACTATAAGGCTACCTTAATTTCTGTCTCTCTCTCTCTGTCTCTCTCTCTCTCTCTCTCTCTCTCTCTGTCTCTCTCACCCCAACTGGTCGAGGCAGGCGGCCACCCACCCAGCCGGGATCTGTCCTAGGTTTCTGCCTTTTAACAGACAGCTTTTCCTTGCCACCATTGCCAAGGTCTTGCTCATGGTGGTACTGTTGGGTCTCTGTAAATAATGTTATAAAGAGTTCGGTCTAGACCTGCTCTATTTGAAAAGTGTCCTGAGATAACTTCTGTTAGGAATTGGTGTTATACGAATAAAACTGAATTGAATTGAATTGAACCTTCTCACTGCAGGCACAAGTGACCAAAATCAGATGTTTTTGTTCATATGACTTGACTCAAAGCTGTTTTTTAAATAACAAATCACATGGAATTTGATCTTTTTAATTCTGATTCTGGGGATATTTGGTCCAAATCAGGTACAGGTACCAGATACAGGTCTGATTTCTTTGCATTACGACCTCAGTGTGAATGTCATGTCAGAATTCGTGTGACTTTCATGTGACCGTGACCTGTTCACACTGGAATCTGATATGGACCACATTTAATAGATTTAGAATTGAGGGCTAAGGCTTGCTGTGTAAACGTAGCCTAACAGTCACTGGTACTAAAGCTGCAGTAGGTCACTTTTATAAAAATATTTTCTTGTCATATTTGCTGAAACTTTCTGTGAAAAATAACAAACAAAAACATATTATTTATTCTTCTTAAATGTAAAACTTTTGTGTCCTTGCTTAGGACAATCAATTTGTGGACTGTGGATGCTTTGTTTGCTCTTGACCACTCGTATAATGTCCTAAGAGGAGTAATAACTTCTACTACTCGAAGGTTTGAGAAGTTAGTAGTTTTCTGCTAATAAAACAAGCACAAATTGTGGTTTATATCTCGTTTCCTGCATAAGGCCCAAAGTGTCATTGGTTTGGACCAACTGAACCGAACTCCAGTGAAATCTAGAGAGACCTTAAGTTTTTGGACCAGTAAGGAACTCTGCAGCTGCAGCCCCGGATACTTGTACTTGATGTCCTGGCTCATGCATGGATCTTAATCTTACAGGTGGACACATCTGGATTCTGCTTTTGATATACCAAATGTAAATTCTTTTGTGTGGCTCAGTCATTGTGTTAGTTATTGTATTGTTCTTTTTTTAAGGATTTCATGGTTTAATTTTGTATCATTTGACCTGTTTCTGTACACTTGAGCTTACACTGAGACATTAGTGTAGATCTCAAATGGGATATTGGAGCTTTTTCTACTTTAATATCCCCATCTCTTGTACCTCCTTTCATCTACATAGTGTCATAACTAAGGATTGGCTCTGTGGTAAGTCAGTGTACATACTTCTCGTTTATAATGTTTTCCTGTTTACTGGAAGAACACCAATGACTTACTTAAAGGAACGGGGTATGCTGGCACTGCGATGCTCAACTTCTGACATGTGAGTCAAATAAAGTCTGTTTGATCAACAGATGAAAGGAGGCCTCTCTCGATCGGCATTTCTAAAGTTTTAAAAGGTTGGTTTTTCTGTTGCTTCTGTCTTGTGTAATTCTGCTGTAACATCTGTTGTGGCTTATGTAAAATTTCAGACAAAGCCAAACCGGCACACATGGTGGACAAAAAACTGAGAGCTTAGTAAAATCTGACATTTCACTATAAACAAAGTAAAATATCCTCTTTCTGCTGATTTAAAAAAAAAAGGGATTACATAAAAAGTCTGCTAAGATACAGTTGTAATGCTTGAGACCTCCACATTCAGCATCTATTCTTGGCAATTTACTGATTGCGTTATTAGTGGCTACGTTTCAAAGTTTTAAAGGTCCAGTGTGTAACATTTAGGAGGATCTATTGTCAGAAATGGAATATAATATTTACAGGTATGTTTTCATTACTGTATAATCACCTAAATATAAGAACTGTTGTGTTTTTGTTACCTTAAAATTAGCCTTTGATAAATTGTAGTTTCTTCTTTGTGCTCAGAGAGGGAGGGGGAAGCGAGGTAATTGCTAACTACATCCGCCAGGATTTGGCTGGCTTTTAAAATTGCAATGTATGTTGTAATGTTTTTTGGGCATAAATAATAGTTGCTCTTTTTTTCATAATTCAAATTCAAAATTTAAAGCACCTTATTCCAGTGAGAATAAAATCTCTAGTAGTTTGCTGCCGTGTGGCACAACAGTTGGGGGACTGCTATGATTGGTGGAACTTGCAGTTGTTCCAACAGAATTGGACCCTAACAGCAGGATGTCTTCAGTGATAATCCACTTACAGACAGATGCAGGTAAACAGAAGCTTGTTCATAAAACTCCAACCAGGAACAAAGAAACTGGTGACACAACCAGGAGCACAATATCTAAGGAAAAGACCAAAATGAACTGCTACAGAATCAAGGGAACACGAAGACTGAATACACAGCTGAGAGGAAGGATAAGGAGACACAGGTGAAAATAATCAGGGCAGGGCAGAATTCACAGGGACTGGTTGAATTTGTGTTGTGATCGCAACATCGCAACTTCCTGGAGGGACGGTTAAGAGTTCTTCATTTTGGTTTATTACAACTTGGGTCGGATAATCCGTGATACAAAAACAAAACAAAAGTGTACATTCTGGCAGTTAGTTTCTTCCTTTGAAACCGAAGATATAAGAAAAACACTTGAAAACAAAATTTAAAAAAGGGTCAAATTGTTGTCCTGTTTGAATTGGAGAATGAAAAAATATAGACAGGTGAATGTCAATAGAACCAGGAGGATAGAATGGCCATTCTATAAAAGTGTAACACGTAGGGGCAGGATCTGTATGTTAGAACAGTGGTTCTCAATACTCAATACTGAATATAAAATGTAGTTTATTGAACTTATAGTAAAATTCTTTTAGGAATTGTGCAGATGGATAAATAAATACATAAATAACAAAATATTATTTACTATATATTATTTAGTTGTGTAGCATTAATTAATAGGTATTCATTTATATATTGAAGTTCTTGGAAATCGTACGAAACCTTAAATTGCCTTATGTTCTCCTCTCACCTCTTTCCTCTGTAGCAAATAAAGTCTATCAACGTAAGCAACTCAGCAGTAAATAAGTGATTTTTTATTCACTTTTTTTATGATAACATTTTTATGAATCTTTTTCTCATAATTATCGTCCTTCTGTTTTGTGGTATTTTTCTATCTTTGTGGCATCATTAGCTTTTTCTTTTTTACTTCCCATAGTTCTTCTTAATGAGGAGATGCCATATTGTGCAGCCATATAAGAACAAAGAGTGGTCAGTCGGTTGATTTTGATATGACCCACTTCAGTATCTTCAGTATGCATTTTTCCAATGCATCTGTCTTGACTAACAAGATCCAACTGAATAGTTGAAGTCACGGTTACATTATTCATTGTTCATTCATTCTTTTCAGTCTCATAAATCATCATCAAAGAGTGCACCTACAAGAATAATCTGAATGTCCTTGCTTACTAGTAGAAATGGGCAGAGTGATGCGGTTCGGACAGATAAAATGCTCCAAAAAGTCAGTTGATATTTTTCAACAGTTGGGTAATAGAAAGGGTTAATTAAAGAAGGATTTCTCAGTTTAACCAGTTAGTGAAAGTAAATTTCTATCAGGGCAACAAAAACAACACAGATACATCATCAACAGCAGCTTCCTGCCTCCACAGTAAAGAACATTCATACACGTTCATAATGAAATGATTGTAATAAAAAGGCTCAAATGTAGTAAAGTACTCTTGAGCCCTGGATGCTGCATTTGACAACAGGAACTTCCAGAGTCTGTAGTCCATGTGCAGGAAGGATCAACAGTGTTTAGCACAGTGCTCTGTGTGCTCTCCTCCTGTCTGCTTCCTGTCCTCCTTCAGTTTGGCCTCAGTGAACTCCTGTTTCACCCTCTGCAGCAGCTCTGGCTGCAGCAGTACATCCAGGGCCGTCATGGCCAGAGCCTTTGCCGTCCTCAGGGTGAAGAACTGAGCTCTGTCATCACCTGGAGTCCCAGATACACAGTCAGTCATACAAACAAATATCAGACACTGGTCGTTTTCAAACCAAAAGGCAATATGGTTTTAATTTCAATATCTTCATATATTATCATGGTCAAGTGTCAAGTTTAAAGGGTCTAAAGTCTAAAGGGCCCTAGTAGTTGCAATGTGTGTGTGTGTGTGTGTGGGGACTTGTTTTACTATATTTGTGGGGTCCAGAAATCAGGAACCTACTATACTTATAGGGTCTGACAGCTATGTGGGGACCAAAATGCTGAACCCCACAAGTTTAAAGGGCTGTTAAAACTTGGATTCAGGATTAAGGTAAGAATTGACTCTTCCTTAATCCCAGAGGGTCGAACATACCAGCAGCAACAGTGTATTCCTCTGTGTGGTTCAAAGCATTAGAACCAATGTAGAAGTATGGATGGATGCCGGGAACAACAAACGTCACATTGCCAAAATCTGTGGAGCCTGAAGACAACAAGAGGAGAAAAAGTGAGTTGAACAGAGGGAGTCAAGAGGGGCATCATGCAAGTAATATTTAAACATTCTGACAACTATCCTTACTTGCTTTCTTTAACTAAATTTAGTAGAAGGTACCCACAACTAATGTTTGTTAAGAGATAGAATAGATCATGATATATGAGCCTGCAGCTCATGTAAGATGAAGAACTGTACTTGTTAATAAAACTAGGACCTACTAAGATATCCACAGTGGTCTTAATACAAATTCTGTTCACCATGCCATTATATTATAAAGTTGAAACTGAGTCCTTGTGTGTGACACTGTCCACTCCTACATATTTCAGTCGCCTCTTAATTCCTAACTGTTCTTTGACATCAACAGAGGAAGCACACGTACCAGATTCATTATTTAGAACATCTTCATCTGTGGTGAAGTCCATCCCCAGAGCCTTGCCGTTCTTCTTGTACAGCTCCTCCAGTGCAGCGTTGCGCAGCATGTTGTCATATTTATTTCTTGCAAACTCTACTTCAACCTGAAAGAGTGATTTTGATTTCTTAGCTGTTCTAAAATGACTGTAAAACACACCCTCCTCGGGCTTATTGCTTAATTTGAATGTCACTGCACTGTGTGTTTACCTCACAGCCAGTTGCCACAGCAGCCGATCTAAAGCACATCTCAGCTTTTGCCTTTAGGACGGGAAGCTCAGTACGTGAGGGAGTTCTCAGGTAGTACTCCAGCTCAGTGTAGGCAGGGATGATGTTTGGTTTCACTCCCCCATGCTTTATGATACCTGCACAACACAACAGGATTTAACCCAGGCTCAGTGAACTCCTCGGCGCATGACTTAGGTACAGATGTTCAGTTCACCATGAACTCTCCAATCTGGCTTCATCTGCTGCCTCAGCACAGACAGGTTGTTGTAGCACAGCACAGCTGCATCCAGCGCATTGATTCCCTCCCAGGGGTAGGCCGAGGCATGAGACGCCTTACCATGATACTTTATGGTTACACTGGAAAACGTAAGGCAGATCACACTTCAGTCTCTGCTTCTATACAGAGGGCACTAAAAGGTTCTCTGTGGAGTTTTACACTCCTGCCAATGGTTTGACACTATTCAGCACACACAACAAAAATATTCATACAGGACGTTTGCGTGTAATAAACTTACTCGTGCTCTGCCACACAGGGAAGGTATGTGGCATCCTCTTTTGATGGGTGGGCCATAAACACCACATCGAGGCCATCAAAGGCTCCCTCTATTAACATGTCAATTTTACCTCCACCGTCCTCCTCAGCCGGGGTCCCCAGCACCGTCACCTGTGGAGACAGGTCCAGCATGCGTTGGATTCTAAGTGTGTATGAGTTAGTGGCAGGAGTTGGACGCACAACATTTTTCTCTTTTTAGTCTGAATTACAGTGAGCCATAGTCTGACTATGCATTTTGTTTTTGGTTCAGGTTCACACTGGCCCTTTGCAACTCAACCAGGGTAATAGCAGTTTTTACATGTTTTAGTCCATAAAGTACATTTTAACATGGCACAGTAGGGTAAACACAGGTGTTAGAAATGATACTGGGTGCTGCTATTGTGCATGTTGACTCACTGGAAAGGCTCTGCTACACTAAATGGAACAGAACAGAATTAGTATCATTTGTAACACCTGTGTTTACCCTACTATTTCATGTCAAAACACATTTTTGTCCCCTAAAATTGGGGGAATATGTATAAACATGTCAACAATTTCTCGAAACAGCCTGAAAATCAAGCTGAAGGTCCGCAGTTTAAGCACGACATTTTGACCCAGTCTAGCTGTAATTACCCATGATGTTTAGAGTTTGGCCTCAGTGCCCAGTGGTCAAAATTTGTCCTTTGACCTGCACTACTTGTTCAGACTCACATCTCCAGGTTGTAATTGTCAAATTGACAAACAACCAAACTTCACAAATAAACAACTTTCCCAAACATGAACTGAACACTGTGTAGCTATCCTACCTGCACCCCCACAGGGAGCTTCTTCTCTGTGGTCTCGAGCACAGATTTGAGCCCCAGAGCCGCAGCAGCTCCAACCTCAGCTATCAGGTTGTGTCCACACGCGTGTCCAATACCAGGCAGGGCATCGTACTCACACAGGAAGCCCATGTTGACCTGCTGCTCGCCGCCTCCTCCAGCTCCCCAAGTGGCTCGAAATGCTGTCTCCAGTTTGAAGTGACTGTCGACCTTCCAGCCCTCCTCCTGACTAAAAAACGCCACCAGTCTGTCATGAGACCTGGTTTCCTCATAAGCCAGCTCCGGACAGCCCCATATGTCCTTACTGAGCTCATGGAGCTTTGCTTTGGCTTCGTCTATACAGCAGCCAACTCTCCGTTTCAGCTCCAGCAGTAAGTCTGCTCTGTCCGACATCTTGATCACTTTACAGAGAGTTAGATTTGTTTATGACCATGAACTTTGGCATTCACAGTGTAACTGTGTGTCTCACAGCCGCTGACTGCAGTATTATCAAGTTACAGTAAACGCCGCCCACAGCACAAAGGCTAAATCTGTTTCAAAATAGCTTACACACACACACACACACACACACACACACACACACACACACACACACACACACACACACACACACACACACACACACACGAACAGTCTAGGTTTGTGTTTACAATTATGTTTTTGTTTTTTTAGGAGTATGGTCTAGACTTACTCCTGCTATTTGAAAAGTGTCCTGAGATCATTTTTGTTATGAATTGTAAGATGTGGTCCTCCAATGCTTCTACATACACTGATGTATATGAAACACCAATGAGTGAGCTGCTGCTGGCAGTTTGAACCTCACAATGGCTGCCTTTAGAAGAAAGTTAATTTGATTTCAATCAAGTATCACCATGGTAATGGCAATTTTTAAGAACCTATACAATCCTTTGACCTGCTCATTGTAAAACCATACACAACTGTTAAAGAGGCTTTTATATGCATACAACCTTTAGCCCTGTTTCCAACTGCACTCTATGTCCAAGTAAACAGCGGGATGTTGAGACTTCACTAAAAAGCCAAGGACATGATCATCTCACCACACTATCTGTCTGTTTACTGTCCCAGAACTCAGGAATGTGTAACTGTGTTAGAGTGACGCTCCAACAGGGATAAAACCATACTGCTTCTTACAATCTTGGCTCTTTCAGACTTTCACATACGAGAGTGTGTGACGGTTGCATGACACCATTCATGGATGACTTGAATAAAACCTTACAGAAAGACAAGATCATACTTTGTATGCTTTATTAAACAAACTGCTACCACACCATCCCGGTACTTTCTGGTTCCCTTTGGAAACCAGAATCAAAAGAAATGTGACTATTATTTTTGTATAAATTATTCAAAAATGTGGCACAGTGAGGCAGCTGCAAATTCTACAGCAATTATCAAATATGGGAAGGTCAAGACCACGACTTCAGGTCTTGTTCAACCACTAGCTAACTACCTAGCTAATCCACATCCATCCATAGGTACCGGTAGTTACATCTGAAAGCTAATGACAGCAAATCAAATCTAACTAGCTAGCTAATTTATATCAATCATTAGTTAGCCAGTCAGCTAACATTTGCTAACATTACCCAAGTTAAGATGTGACTAATATGTATGACTTTAACTTTTAACCATCTTTAAAATGTGGTTGTCTTTTCAACCTAGATTAGCCTAGCACATAGCATATATCAGTACAGGAAAGGAGAAAGCTGACCGAGGCTTGCTCAACTCTCATACAGAGCAAAAAGGGGCGGGTCAATGTAAAAATGCATGTGAGGAACGCTTGAAACTACTACATTACCAGATCCAGACAATATCATGCTTACATTAATATTTATTTCACAGAACAACAGATGGGTTTTTCTTTTTGGACACCTTGATTATTCGTCCACAGATCTGGTTAGGTTTGTTTTGACCATGTGTCCGTCTCTCTGTCCCCTTAGACCTGCCAGGTAGATCTGAGGTTTGGGCACATTACTCTCACCATCTCTCTTGCTCTGACAGGCAGCATTCTTGGGCAGCCAGGTTTGAGTGGTGTTTTCCCGTCTCATGTGGCTCAGCTGAGTTTGCGTTGAGTGTGTCACTTTGGTCCTGATATCAGCCTACAATTATGAGATACAAAAGAAGGTGCATCGATATTAAATTAACAAGACTCTACATGTCAGAAGTTAAAAGGTATCTTCCTTAAACTACACAGTGACTATGATTCATCACATGGAAATGCATCTAGTAAATTCTGGCTCACCAGTTGGACAGCTTTTCTTCTCAGCTCCCACTCATTCCACTCGTATGACTTGACGATGTTTGTCTCCACTGGGTGGATGTCAGTCTGTGTGCCGCTCTCACACTTAGTAATGGGCTTCACCAGTAAACTCTCTCCTGGCTGCATCTGCAAAACCACAAGGCAACAAAGGTGGAAGTTTCTGGGCGGGCAGCAGTGTGCAGTGCTGTCAGCCATTCATTGAATAAATGAATGAAACTATATACGTAAATAAATAATGAGTTTAATAAATGTATTCTGAGTGATCTACACTTATATTGTAGATCCAAAATATGCAACTGAAGTATGTGCTTTGACGTGGACAAAGCTGCTGACCTCAGAGTAAGGACTGACGCAGGAAAACTGTTGATGGAGTTTAAGGAGCTGAATCAGTTCAGGGGAGTACTTGGCTTTCTCTGCCACCTCGTCGATGAAGTCGTCTGGAGTGGAGGCAAATTTCAAGGCAGCTTCTTTGGAACTAAAAACATAGAGCTTCTCCTTGTGCTTGAGGACTCCAATGTGTGGATTGCCTGCAAAAGAAGTGTTGAATAGTTAAAATGTTAAAGAGTTCGGTCTAGACCTGCTCTATTTGAAAGTGTCCTGAGATAACTTCTGTTATGAATTGGCGCTATACAAATAAAATTGAATTGAATTGAATTGAATTGAATATTCCAACTGAATGCACTTAAGATGCTCATCATATTGTTCCCATTAAACAGAATGCATATATAGAGAAAGACTAAAGACTGGACTTTTCTTTGAATTCTGTCATATATATGAATTACAGTATTGGATGTTGATATTAAAGCTGTAGTAGGTAACTTACTGAGAACTACTTTTTGTCATCAGGTCTTTAACTTCCAACTCCGAGTTGAGTTTCAAGTCATTTATTTTCTGTCAGGTTGCAAGTTATCAATAGAGTGACTTGAGTAAGCATGTGGAAGCTTGAATTACAAAAAGAAGGAAGCCAAATGCCTTTCCCAGTACCTGGAAGTAGTAGCCCATCTCTGTTCACAAGTGTGTAGCCACAGACCCCATCATATTGTAACGGCAGCTCACTAAAGCAGCCTGTTGTCTCAGGCAGGAGCCATTCCTGTGTCTTCATCTTAGCTGGAACAATACGCTCATCTGAAAGGCATAATGAAGAAAAACAACTGCATTTAAGCTCAGTTCAGAGCTGTTTTTCTCTCTCGAGTCCGGTTTTGTGAGACTTGTGGAATGTGGAATTCATTAATGTATTCATTAGAGGCTTGCAGTATCTGTTCATCAGCCGTACCTGAGGACTCACTCATCCTCTGTTCATCTGTCTTCACCTCTGAAGCCTCGAGCAGGCTGTCCAAATAAGCTTCAGAAAACATTTTGGCCTGAGAGGCGACAAAGGGTTGCAGATTGAGCATGATGTTACTGAGGATGTTCAGCAGCTCAGCCTCATCCTGAAGTCCAGACCACAGCTTTGACAGGGTCTTGAACAGTGGCTGAAAGGCAAAATGGGGAATATGAGGCTATAGCCATAACAAAAGCTAAAGTACATTTTATCAAAGATGCAGTACAATTCTTTCCCCCCTGCTTCCAGTCTTTTTACTAAGCTAACCACACGTTGACTCCAACTCTGTACTTAACACACAGAAACTTAACAGACATGGGATTGATAACCATCTCCTGATCTCATTCTGAGAAAGAAAGCAAATATGTTCCACCCAGCGGGTGCTGTTGATGGGAGAGAAGAGAGCCAGATAGGAGCCATGCTGGCCCAGCTTGGACTTACAGCTGCTCCTGGCTAATGTCCGGTCTGGACCAAATGTGACTCAGGCTGGAAATCAGAGACTGTTGTGCTCACATCTTTACGAGACCATGTTCCACACCGACAGAGTACAGGATGAGAGGAGGCGGACTCTGTGTTTACATCAATAATGCTTGGTGCTCAAACACAGAAAACTGAATGGACACTGTTTCTTTTTATGTGATTCGATATGTTATTCCATGAATTAGATTATCTCTTGCTATGTGTTCAACATGAAGGAACAACAAACTTTAATTTTGTTACACAGCATGAATGATGAATAAATGTATCTGATTTCTTGACTGTCCTACATTCAATGTAGAGTAGCTAGCTAGTTAGCTTGTGGTTTGCTCTTCAGGAAATTCATAACTAGCTAGCTAAGGACTGACGTAGCTAGCTAACTTGAGAGCCGTTATATACCATCGACATATATAAAGATGGACGACATGACAGCTCTCCAAAAATGAAACCAAAACCTCTCTATCACCCTCTGTTGGCTGACTGCAGTGTAGGTCATAAAGCCTGCTGCTCCCATGTTAGCAGATGGGACAAACAAAAAAACTCCGTACAGTTTGGTTTTATCTAGTTATTTGAGCTATAAAAAGGGGAGTAGGCCGGGTGTATGGCCTCCGAAAGAAGAAAGATGGCAGTGGCTGTATCCAGTATATTTTGGCATAATTTTTGTACAGTGGAAGGATGAGGAGATGTAACTTACATCTTTTATATGTTGATGCTATGTACAGTATATGTTACAATTATCTTTTAGCCATCTTCAAAATGTGTCTTTTCAACATAGATTGGCATAGCACATAGCATATCTAAGTACAGGAAAGGAGAAAGCTGACTGAGTTCTGACCAAGGCTTGCTCAACTGTTATTGGCTCAATAAGGTGGAATGGAATCTTATTGTATCTGTGTTTACCCTGCTATTACATGTCAAAATGGCTGCTGTGAAACACTTACAAACACTTTTGCAGCGGGTACAGCTGTCTTAGACTTCACAGTTTCTCTCAGCAGCTTTATCTGTGAAGAGAGCTCAGTCTGCAGGATTTCAACGTGTTTGGCACATAAACCTGCATCAGCCTGGCAGTGAATGGAAAAACACATTTACTGAACATTTCACTTAACAAGACATGAATTCACTTGTGCTCTTTTACTTAATAAGCTGCAAAAATAGGCATTCCTTACATAAATTATAATAGATGTAAGCTACAAGGAATCCACATTTACAGAAAGCACAGTTACCAGCTACTGTTAACTCACCAATAACATCTTGAGGAAAGCTTCGTGCTGCCTGACGTTGTAGAGAGCCTGTCTGAGCAGGACGACGGGAACGTCAAACTCTGCAGGTTGACTATTGCCGACCGTTTGCTTCTCCAGCAGGGCTGTGTATTTCCACGCCAAACTCTGAGTTCCCCTCAGCTCGGTTTCTATGCTTTTACTGGTGACTGGAAGAGCCTTGTTAAGAATTGTAGGC